TGGTTCCGCCTTCGGCCGAATGTCCGAACGCGTCGAGAGCGGGTCCCAAACGTTCGGCCGTTCGGGTTCGGGTGTTCGGCCCGTCCCGAACGCCGGCAACTCTGTATATATATATATATATATATATCGTCATGTATGTAATGAGTCGGTGAAACATTGACGAAACAGTTTGTCACAGCCCCTCGTTTGTTGACCTCTTCTCTCTCTCTGCCAAAGTTTCACCGACTTATCATATACATGACGATATATATATATATATCGTCACAAACAGAACTGCCCGGTAAAACCGTAGGCAGAAAGAGAGAAGAGGACAACAAACGAGGGGCTGTGACAAACTGTTTCGTCGGAGTTTCACCGACTTATATATATATATATATATATATATATATATATATATATATACAGAGAGAGAGAGAGAGAGAGTAATAATGTATATGATGAGTCGGTGAAACTCCAACGGAACAGTTTATCAAACCCCTGGTTTGTCGTCCTCTTCTCTCTCTCTGTCGACGGTTTATATATATATATATATATATATCTTTCAAGCCCAATAATAAAGTACTCGCTTGTCGTTGGCTACCAGAGTACCCCGGGGCCACTTGCCCGGCCGGGCAAATAAATAATAATAAAAATTCTGTTTTGGAATTTCAATATATATATATTTGTTTTTGTAATATGGAGAAGAACTTGGATGTGACCCACAAACAAAACTTGTTCATATTATTTTTTTACATGTGGTTGGAATATTTTTTTTTTGCATGTCGTTCGAATTTGAAGTCAGAAAAAAAAAACAAAAGATGCCAACAACAAAAAATACCTACGACAATTACAAGAACCCAAAAAAAAATAAAAAACAAGAAAAAATTAAAAAGCCAACGAATTACGCCACATATCCGGAAGTGTTTTCGAGTTCCGGCCGCCGAAATATGGTAGATCGTCACAAACAGAACTGACCGGTAAACCGTAGGCAGAGAGAGAGAAAAGGACAACAAACGAGGGGCTGTGTATCGTCATAAACAGAACTGCCCGGTAAAGCGTACGCAGAGAAAAAAAAAAAAAGGACAACAAACGAGGGGCTGTGACAAACTGTTTCGTCGGAGTTTCACCGACTCATCAGGAGGCTGAACCACACACACACACACACACATATATATATATATATATATATATATATATATATTTCGTCAAATAGAACTGCCCGGTAAACCGTAGGCAGAGAGGGAGAAGAGGACAACAAACGAGAGGCTGTGACAAACTATATATATATATATATATATATATAGGTCGCCGACGCGTAAGACAGGTTGGCTGACACGAAAAACGGTTACAGCGCCGGACACAAGACAAACGACAACCCAAAGTTGATCGAGAAGAAGAACAACATGAACAAGAACAAGAAAAAAAGAAAAAGAAAAAG